TGCCAATCTTCAAAAGCATCCTCTGTTCTTCTAAAAGAATCCCTGCTCAGAACACACTTTCAAATGCTCTCTGACAAAAATGGCCAGGTTAATTTGTTTGTACCACCTATAACAGAAGTCATGGAAAGTTCTAGGAGTTTGTGGCAGTGAGCTAATTCTCCTGGGTGCTGGGCCACATGGGACTGTGTAATTTAGAGAGCGAACAAGAAATGGGCTCTACCTAATGCGAAGGCCGAGGGCACAGCCCTGCTAACAGGAACTGCCAATGACCTTGACCGTGCTTCTGCCAGATGTGATTTTGGCTGGTATTCTTCACCACTAATATTTTCTTAGTAGTTTACACATATGTTCCCTATTGCTCCTTGTCCATTTCCCTCCCACTTAAAAGTTACATTCTAAAGTCAACTGTATAGTGCAAGTCATTCACCACACGGAGTTGAACCATTAATTAAATCTCCCCATGTACAGATAAATTCTCATGAGAAAAAAAAAATAGAGCTCAGAAAAACATACTGTGATTCTACTGTTTCTTTTCTAATGGTGTAGCTAATATTTTTTTACCTTTCAAAATCTACTTGCTGGATAGTTTATGCCCATCCATAAATCTATAGCTTCATTTGAAGAGTTAAAAAAAAAAAAGGAAAGAAGAAATTATTTTCACCTTTTCCTCTGTCAGCACTAATCCTCTTAAAAGTGCCCTTTCAATCAAGCGGTCCAAGAGAAGCTCGATTTTCTCAGCAAATAGAATGCTGAAATGTACCGTTTAAAAGGGTGACTACTGTGAGTGAAAAAGGAAAATAACGGCATGACCAGTGGGTACACGCGGGCCAGGAGCACACGGAGCCTGCGCCTTTATTGGGCCAGAGAAACGCGTGCCTTCCTGGCCCACTGAAAAGCCAAGGAAATGGCAGGTGTTTGGTGGGGACAAGTACTGGAAATATTTTTATTGCAAAGTGACTGGAACTCAGTCAGAGGTTGAACACTTAGCAGGCAGGCAGCTGGGGTTTAGAGAAAACGGACCGAGATTATCACCAGTGGGTGCCTCCAGCCTTGACAACAACGACAATGACAGTTTTAAAATAGTTTGATGAATTCAGATGACTCTGGAAAGTTTTATCTTAAAAAAAAGTGTCCCCTAAGAAAAACAACTGGAGAAATACATCATCAGAATGGTATAGCAATGCAGAAACTGCCTATTGATTGCCCAAAGAAAACAGAATCAATTTTTCTTAGAAGATTGAAGAGAAGTATTGAATAGACCCAGCTTCCTTTAATACCCACAGAGTTCATGCGGAAATGGAATGAAGAAGACTGGGGATGGTGAATAAGAAAAGAGAAGGAGCACAAACTGGTCCTTTCCTGTGTCCCTGGAAGGTCACAGCCTACATTTTATAGCACAACGTGAAGCACCGGGTTGCAGCGAGGTATCAGACAGGCCTCTCCTCCAGAAGTCACTCTAATATTGTTTGCAAAATGTATACTGCAGGCAGGTTTATGCACACTGTTAAAGGATAGATATTCTCTTTTGATTCATGGCAAAGAGTTTTATTATTTTGGTACAGTTGCTAAGCGAAATGAAGCTTGAATTTGAGCTGTTCATCCTCCATTATATCTATAATAGCATTGCATTTATTTAGAAGCAATGAGGTTTCTGATTTCAAATCAGAAAATCCCAGGGCCATATACGATTTGGATCATTTTCTTGGCCTTATCCAGGCCTTCTGGAAGTTTCACCTCTATAATTTTAAGCTAATATGTTTAGTCTTTCTGTGGTTTAAAGAAAACACTGTATGTAACCTCTATAAAGAGCTAAGGCAGGATCTGGTTGAGAGAGCAGATTCTAGGGTCAAATCTCCTGAGTCTGGGTTGTGATTCTATCACTTACTGTCGTTGAGACCTTGAGCAAGTTCCGCCTCAGTTACCCCATCAGTAAAATGAAGATAATGCTAGGTCCTGCCTTGTCAGGGTGTGGTGACGATTACACGAGGTACTGCATGTAAATCACGTGGCACAGTGCTGGCATTTAGAAAGGAAAATCAACCCTTACAGTTTGGCAGACAGTTAAGCCAACACCCTAGAGCTTAGTGTTGTCAGGGCTGAGCGTATTCCTCCACATCCTCACTTTGTCTCCGTTTGCCTTCCCCTACCTTTCCCGGCCTCTCCCAGGGTTTCTCTGTTTCTTATGTGGTAATCCTCAAATGAGCCCAGAAGGTTCTGGTCAACGTCGGACTTTTTAAAAAGAATTACCTGCTTTATTCTGTTACCACACGTTAAGCACCTCTTCACCTGAGTTCTTGGAGGATTAATGCCCACAAATCTGTACTGGCAGAAAAGGAGAGAATGGACACAAAAGGCAGGAAATGGACTTATTGAGGAGCTGGAGGGAAAGGGACAAAACAAAACAAACGGAAAGACTTGTGAAAGCAGGTGAGCGGGTAGGTGATCCAGCTGCTCTTCGCCACAAGAACAATGTGTTTCCTAATATTGATCCCACTGTAGCACTGGTCCCCCAAGTTGATTAGCAAATAAATAGTTTCTTGGTAAAAAAAAAAAAAAAAAAAAAAAAAAAAAAAAGAAAAAAAGAAAAAAAGAAAAAAAAAAAAGTGTATTCCAAGTATTTCATACCACGTTTCCCTCCAGGAGTCTCAGTGTCCATGAACATGTTGAAGATTCTGGGAAGTACTGCAGTAAAGAAACCTGCTTTGTTTTGTTTATTGTGATTACTACTGATTAATACCATTTGGAGACTCTTCCCACTGTTGTTATTTTATAACTGGGAAACAAGAATACCCACAAGTAAAGAACAAATGTCAGGGTAACTCATGAACCTTGATAACACTGATGAGAAGAAAAGTAGGACTAACTAACATTTAATGAGGGCCTATTATGTGTGCCAAGAGTGTGCTGACTGCTTGGGAAATATTTGCTCTTAGGAAAGTTAAGGTAATGATTTTTAGTGGGAAGAATGTTTGCAAAGTGCTTTATGAAAGAACGTCATGGCACGTACTAGCTGTCCTTAAGTGGGGACAAAATAACTTTAAATAAAGAAGGATCTTGAGAACTCACACAGCCTCTCTTCATGCCTAAGAGTATTGCTTTTGCATTCACTGAGAACCTGGGAGATTTTGGAGGATTTCTCTACCCTTACTGCCCTGGAATGTAGCATTATATACACATCTGTGAACTAGTGCTGATTCTGCTTCATGTATATGTAACCTTGAGCAACACACTCCTCTGAGCCTATGTAAATACTGGAAAAAACAATAACATCTAACTGAAGTTTATAAGGTTTATACATACAAGGCACAGGTTTATAACAGATGCTAAAAAAAATGCCAATCTCTTAATCTACTATCCATATTCTTTTTTTTATGTCAACTCTTTTTAAATTTTTTAAATTTATTTTTTTAATTGATTTCAGAAAGAGGAAGAGATAAAAACATCAATGATGAAAGAGAAACATTGATTGGCTGCCTCCAGCATACCCTCTACTGGAGATCAAGCACACAACCCAGGCATGTGCCTTAACTGAGAATCAAACTGGTGACCTCTTGGTGCATGGGTCAATGCTCAACCACTGAGCATTGGCTGGGTTCTACTGTCCTTAGTTTTGAATCCATTGATCAAAATATCGTTCTCTTGCACAAATACTGGAATAAGTTCTTTGGAGTCGATAAAATCTTATGTACTCTTTATATCTTCAAGACCCACTAATTGTCATTTAATTATTACCAGACTGTCTCTGTGTGTATGTTTGTAGGACCAACATATATATACATACATATGATATATACTTAGCAATGTAAGTATATAAAAATTATATAAAATAGCAATTTATGTATTTACTGTTAAAGGAAAGAGCTACGTTTTATACTTCATTTATATTCCCCAAGACATCTCTTCTAGTCTAGTGCTAGGTACATAGTATTTGGTATGTCTTATGAAATGAATGAATGGAAATAGTAGTGGTAAGTTGCAGTAAAATTATACTTATTTTATCCAATATAATATAATAAATGTAATTTAATAATAGAATATTTTGCACTAGGGAATAAGCCAGGATGGAGTCAGACTGCCATTTTGAAATTTGGTGCTAAGTTTCTGATGCCTTACAAACAACCTGTCTTAGCACTGGATCTCAGCTAAGATGGAAGGCAGACAATTCACAGATGAGAATGGATCTGGCTTCAGTTCTTGGCAAGAAATTTGAATCTCCCTTCAAATAAATTGACTGTTAATGTGTTTGGTTGACACCGACTCCTATTTTCTTTCTTCTCTTCTTACTGTTTTTATTCTCATGCAACAGAACCTAAAAAGCTGCCTCTTTTCATTTTCTGAAATGTTTATATGTCATTAAGAGTGAAGCATTGAGAGGTGAAACAGGCCAGAAGGAGGGGGTACCGCACAATTACAACAATTAATTTTGTGGAGAATAATAGCTGTTAACGTCAGTTTTAAGTGTAGGCAGATGCAAAAACAACAGCCATAAAAATGAGATTTCCCTTCCTTTCTTGTACATATTTGCCCACATTGGCAGTGAACTGAAGAGAGTGAGTTTTTTTTTTGTTTTGTTTTTTTTAAAAATATTTAATGAGTAAAAGGTCAAAATGAGTTAGAAATTGAGAAATGCTGTTGATTGCATTTCGGTGTGTTGTCCAGTCACATTAACGGGGAATGGGAGTGACCCATGTTAAGGGCAACCAGACACTCCATCAGTCACACATCCCAAATGACCTGCCCTTTCTACTAGCACCTTCTCTCCCTTTTTAGCCTCTTTTCTGTGATCTCTCTCTCTCTTTCTCTCTTTCTCTCTCTCTCTCTCCACTTAAATCTATATGTTGATACTCATAGCTGGAATGTAGCATTTACTCCTTCTTGATTTGAAAGTATAATGACAGATTTATGATATGTTCAACACATCTAAATGTTCTCTGACTCTTGCCAGAGATGATAAGAGGGTAGGAAGTGTAAAATGGACTGAAGACAGTGATCTCTCGTAGGAATGGAATGCCGCTGTTGAGAAGCTGAAGAGCGAGGCACTTGAGATTCTGCTGTCCAAGGACCACGTGGAGAAAGCACACCTACAGCTGTCCAACCAGAAGCTGAATCGGCTTCAAGAGGAATTTGGTCAGCTCATGGCAGAGAGGAAAACCTGGTTAAAAGAGGCGAATGATTTCTTCAACAGCGCCAACAAGGTCAGTGCGCGATCTAACTGGTCATTTTAGGTAAATGGGACAGTTCAGTAAGAGACCCATTACTTCAATGGGCTGGAGCACATCACAGAAACAGGGATTTCATGAAGAGTTGCAAAATTGGCGGCATTAAAGAAGAGCTCTTAAATTATAGTCTTATCATGGCCATTCATGGTTCTCAAAACCAAGAGACTCAATGCTTTGACATATACAAAGTCACTTTTTACAAATTCCTCATAGGACTTCATAAAGCTATCGTTGGTCTGTTTGGAGGTAGGGGGAATAATTGTGCCCACCACTGTAGTGCTTCTCATGGAGGAAGGGGATTATTATAAAATATCCCAAGGTTAACACACACACACACACACACACACACACACACACACACACACATCTTGAAGCTTTTACTCAAAGGTCTCTCTCGCTCTCACTCTTAAATCTTTTTTCCGTTATCAGGTTAAAAATATGAATAGTGCAAGCCTTCTACATGTAAATCTTAAGTCTAGAAACAAAGATTTTACTTGACGTGCATGCCTAGGTCTTGGCTTTTGAAGACAGCCGAAGAGAGAGCTTTCTTTGGCCATCTCCAAGTCTTCTTGGGTTGGAGAAGTGCTCTGCTTCTCCTGGCTGATGCATTTCCTGTTGATTATGGTGGCTGGCTCCTGCTACATGGTGATGTCTGCTGTTTACATCACTTGCGTAGGGCTCAGTATCTGAGGCCAGCGACCTTATTTGAAACTTTTTTCTCTACCAGTCCTAATTGAATATACCCCTTCAAACTGCCTTATTGGAATTTTTTGATACCTTAAAAACACAGATATTTACATTACAATTCAAAACAGTAGCAAAATTACAGTTATGAAGTAGCAACAAAAAAAATTTATGGTTGGGGGTCACCACAACATGAGGAACTGTATTAAAGGGTCACGGCATTAGCAAGGTTGAGAACTACTGTTAGTCAAACAGATTAGGGTTGAAGAAAAGGCTTAACTTGCATTGTACCCTCATTCTACAAAATAAGGGGATCATCTGTCAATCAATTAATTCTGTTTCTAAGGAAGATAGTTAAAGAGCCTGTTGCTATGGGAAAACAATGCTTCTAGTTCAAACCTATAGTTTACAGGCTTACAAAATGGAGAGTTCTTTTTCCTCTCTCTTTTATTCTCTCTCTCGCTCTCACTCTTGCTCTTGCTTTCTCTGTCCTGGGCTTGAGGAAGAAAGAATGATATATATATATATATATATATATATATATATATATATATATATATATTTTTTTTTTTTTTTTTTTTCAATAGTAATTTTTTTAAAAATGAAGAACTAAGTGGTTACTTTCTCCAACTCATATAGTAATTCAGGTCAGATCTCAAAAGCTCATATTTTTCAACACTACAGGCTTGATTTCTAGATCCCCTTTTTCATCATTTGAATGTCCTGGCATTCAAATTACAAGTTCAGTTGGGAGTTATCCATACTGTGCCATCTTTATAGTCAAGAGCACTTATAAGGGTGTAGATTTCTTTCTTCCTTTTCTAAGCATCAAAGAAATAATTTCCAGCCCCAAAGCTAAGAATTCAGTGTGAGAGGTGATAGGTACCTTTACCTCAGCAAAAAATAGAAGCTGCAGTTTGGAACAGGGATGCTTAATGAAGACTCTTGAAATTAATTACTTATTATATTATTAAGAAGTAATAAATGATGAATTAGCAGCGGAAAAATCTATTTAAATCAAAGAAGGAAACTCTTCTCAAAACTTGTAAATGGTATTTTTTTTAAATATATTTTATTGATTTTGTACAGAGAGGAAGGGAGAGAGATAGAGAGTTAGAAACATCGATGAGAGAGAGTCATCGATCAGCTGCCTCTTGCACACCCCCTACTGGGGATATGCCCGCAACCAAGGTACATGCCCTTGACCGGAATCGAACCTGGGACCTTTCAGTCCCCAAGCCGACGCTCTCTCTACCTTTGAGCCAAACCGGTCCCGGCTGTAAATGGTATTTTTATTTCTGATTTATATTATGGAATCTCAAATATATTACAAAATTCTCACAACTTCATCTAGTTTTTGGTATAACACTCATCTTAAAAAATGTACACGCTAACATATTTACAATTTGTGAAATTCAATAAAATATGACTATCATTAATTGTCCACATTGACAGCAGTACCCACTCACTGCCTTTGACTACTTCTTAATCAAAATCAAGTCTGTTTCTTACCCAGAGCATCCACTGCCTTTGGCTTGAGGTGTACCTGGAGTGAGCAGTAGGTGGCAATGTTAGCACACAGGATCTTGGGAGTATTGCTAATCATGTGTTCCATAAACCAGCCACTGGACTCAAGTGGAGATTGGACCATAGAGCTCAAGAAATACTTCCTTATCCTTTTATCTGCTGTATTTGCTGGTCTATTTTCAAAATCACTTAGCAACAAATAAAAGAAGGGGTTGGTTGTCAACAATGGATAATAACTGATTGGAGAAGAGTTTCTCTAATTATTAGATTTAAAAAAATGTTTATTGATTTTAGAAGAGAAGAGAGAAGGAGAGAGATATAAAAACATCAAGGATGAGAGAGAATCACTGATCAGCACATCCTGCACATCCTTTACTGGGGATAGAGCCCACAACCCCAGGCATGTGCCCTTGATCAGAATCAAACCTGGGATCCTTCAGTCCACAGGCCGACACTCAATCCATTGAGTGAAACTAGCTAGGAGTCTAATTACTAGATCTTGCTAAGAGTTATGAGGACATGGTCATGAAATAAGAACATAGCACTTATAGTAACTCATCTTGATCCTCCCATATTTTCTTCATCTTTCATGATTATATATTGTTTATTATTATATTTCTAGTGTTCACAAAAAGGAAAGTTAATATGTATTGATTGCCCAAATGTATTTATCATTGTTTTAGGGAATATGTTTTTTGAATTAAACAGAGATAAAAATGCATAATAGGTTCCAAGAGCAGAACAGTGTGAGTATGTATATGACAATGATGATTGGACCCAAAGCGGTAAAACATGGCTGATTAGTCATAAAGTTTTATGTCCCATGATTTCCATTCCCAGGCACATGATTTCACATCAATCAAAGGGGAAAGGCCAAAACAGTCTGATTCTTGGGTGGCCAGACTAAAAGCAAAGGTCCCATAGAAATTGTGGCAGCCTGGGAACACACCGAGAGCAGTGTGAAATGTCATGACTTTTGGGCTTCTACTCCTTCTACAGATACCACTGAAAAGTTAATGTCTTTTAAAAAGAATGATGTTACTTTATTTTTTTATTTTTATTTTATTTTTTTAAATATATTTTATTGATTTTTACAGAGAGGAAGGGAGAGAGACAGAGAGCTAGAAACATCAATGAGAGAGAAACATCGACCAGCTGCTTCTAGCCCACCCCCTACTGGGATGTGCCCGCAACCAACGTACATGCCCCTGACTGGAATCGAACCTGGGACCTTTCAGTCCGCAGATCTACGCTCTACCACTGAGCCAAACCAGTTTCGGCAGGATGATGTTACTTTTAAAAAGCAATGTTTACAGCAACATTATAGGTACATATGAAAGCAAAATAATTAAGCATGGAATTTAGTATATATATTTTTTTCATTTATGTATACACTATTCTACCTGTTCCAGAATAGATACATTTTAGCCCAGATATAGGAAACTATTAATTAAAGTTGTCTAGTCATTGTGTGGAGTGAAAGAAGAAACTTGTCCAAATAAAGAAACTGCAAAATATTATCCAGAAGGAATTTGAAATGATATAAGTGAATTCAAGAAATTAAGCTAATTGTCACTAGACATCAAGAAAGCTATCATTACTGTCAGTTTCATAATTCTTAAGCAGCACCAGAAAATAAGATGAAAATAAAATTCTTATTTTCACAATAACTTCCCTCTTTCTTAGAAAAAAATAAAGCAACTTGCTTTTCACTCCCTTCCTTCTTTCACATTTGCATTCAGATGAAATGTTGTGTATCGGCTGTTCTCATGCATTGAATGGGTAGTTGAGCTAAAGTAACAGAAATAACATCTTTGCTTTCAAGACCCTCTGTGCCTAGTTTAGGGGAGAGGCAAGGGACAGAGTGCCATGTGCTGTGGGAAAGCCTCAATGGAGTTAGTTCAGAACATTAGGCAACACAGAGACAGGGCCTTAACCTGGCCCAGGGAAAAGTGTCAAGGAGGTGACCACTGAGTTAGACTTGGAAGGCTGGGGCAGGAAAGCATTGGGGTAGGACTGCATGGTCCAAAGTCATGCCATGTATGGGAATCTCAGGTAATTCATTTTGCCAAGAATATATGGTGTAAGCCCAGAGTGATAGGAGACCAAAGAGGTAGATGCAGGCAGGCATCTGTCGGGAAGGGTCTTGAATAGCATGCTCATGCTGGACATGTTCCTAAATAAGCAGAGATCGTGGGAATTTGAAAAAGTCGTGATGAGGCAAACCTCCTCCTGGAGAAGCAAGTGATATCTTGACTTACTCTCCCTCCTACCTCCCTCTGAGAGAATGGTTTAGAAACCTTTGTTTTTACAGTTCAGGGAAAAGTTTTTTAAACCACAGTAAATATTTGATAAGTATGCCTAAATTATTAGCATAGAATTATCAAAGCATATCTAATAGAAACAATTATATAAATCAAGGAATACTTTAATATCTTACATTTCTCATGAGAGCCCACAACTCAGTCCATATTTAATAGTCTTATAATAAGGACACTTAATTTTTTAAAAATTTTATCTTTTTATTGATTTTAGAGAAAGGGAGAGAGAGGGAGAGAGAGAAACATTGATGTAAGAAAGAAAGATTGATTGATTTCCTCCTGCATGTAACTTGACTGTGGATTGAACCTACAGACCTGAATATGTGTACTGACTAGGAATCAAACCCGCCACCTTTAGGTGTAGAGGCTCCAACCAACAGAGCCACACTGTGGGGAAGGGGGTGGGGAGGAGAGGTAAGACACTCAATTTTATCATCACTCATT